CTCCTGTAAGGCAGGTAAACCAAGATTGAATGAAAATCAGGTTTTAAAGGTAATAACAGGTAATTCAATCTTGGGGAGTTTTTAGAAAGTTATGAGGTTAAGCATATACGAGAAATAAAACATGTAGAAGTCTATCAATCAATATTCGCCCTACATTTTTAAATGTCGTATCTCATCCAGCTGGCCAGTAGCTTTTAAGTATTAGAAATAATAATTATAGCAATTCAATCTCTCTTTATCCCTGTGAAGAACACATAATTTAATATACTGGAAGTAACAGTCTAAATGTCAACCCTTGAGGAATTGTTTAAGAATAGCCAAAGAAAGATTGATGTAAATAAGTGGATGAATAAGAAAAGTAAGGCTAAGGAATATCCGGAAATTTTCCTATCATTAAAATCTATTAGTCTCCAGAACACTGCCCCGAGGGAACCAGTAAAAGCCCAACCTTATGAGCCATTTGAAAGTGGATTTGCTGGTGGATATTCCGAGGGGAAAACTCAGGCACTGCGCCGGAAATGGATAGTGCAACCTGATGGGATGTTGTCATGTTCAGTATTTCCTATGTTAGCATGTACAGCTCATTCTCTGGACTTCACAAGGAAACATAAGAAGGGGTGCTGACCAGTCAGAACTGCTGCAACAGACGGTCAAGACCACATACACTGCCAAGGTCTCTTCTAACAGTGGGCGAGCTGGGGACACCAGGCAGATGAACCTCGCAAGGAGAAGGGAATGCGGCACTAGCGGGGAAGTCACTGCACAGGAACTGCTGATACAATGCCCCGGGGCTATTTCGGCGAGATCACACCGGCCTTTGTGATCCCACTGCCCTCCCGGTCACCCTCGGTCTCCAGTGCCAACTACTTCATTTGATCTTCACGGTTCCTCCTTCTGATTCATGATTAGCATACACATTTCCCCTCATTGCCTTATTTCTGTAACCGTGGATGATGGATGTGCCTTCGCACACACCACTCACAAACCAAACACTATTTTTACATTTTTTGTTTCTATGGCGAGACATATTTTGGTCTAAATTTACCATCATGACTTCCCTGGGTTTCAATTTTCTCAGCTGTAAAAAGATGAGAATAGCCCTGGCCGGTTTGGCTCAGCGGTTGGAGCGTCGGCCTGCGGTACAGAGAGACCCGGGTTTGGTTCCCGCTAAGGGCACGTACCTCGGTTGCAGTTTGTCCCCGGCCCTGGTTGGTCGTGCGGGTGGCAGCCACTCGATGTGTCCCTTCACATCGATGTTTCTCTCTCTCTCTCTTCCTCTCTCTCCCTCCCGCTCTATCTGAACAAAAAATGTCCTCGGGTGAGGATTAAAAAAAAAAAAAAAAAGATGAGAATAAAATGATCTCTATTTACATCTCAGGTTGTCATAAAGACAAGTAAGAGACCCTGGCCAGCATGGCTCAGTTGGCTGGGTGTCACCCCATGCATGGAAGGATTGCCAGTTCAGTTCTTGGGTCATGGCACCTGCCCAGGTTACAGGTTCGATCCCCGATGGAGGCACATGTGGGAGGCAACTGATTGATGTTTCTCTCTCTCTCCCTCACTTCCTCTCTAAAATCAGGAAAACATATCCTTGGGTGAGGAGAAAACAAACAAACAAAACACAAGTGAAAAAACAGATATAAAATCACCTTGAAGTCTAAAGCACTACAGAAAGAAATACAAGGTTATTAATATTTCTTGGTTCTTGCCCACTTCAGTGTTGTCCATTTTAGGATAAAAACATTTTGTGGACATATATCTTTTTAATATTACCAGTGTTATACACTTCTTAATATTCGGATGTAAGAGCTGTCAAAACTATAGTACCTGAAACATATCTGCTGAAAACAGTATTAAATTATTTTAGATGGGCCCGGCCAGTGTGGCTCAGTGGTTGGGCGTTGACCTATGGACCAGGAGGTCGCCGATTTGATTCGTGGTCAGGACACATGCCCAGGTTGTAGGCCTAATCCCCAGTGAGGGGCAGGCAGGAGGCGGCCAATCGATGTTCTCTCTCATCGATGTTTCTATCTCTCTCTCCCTCTCCCTTCCTCTCTCTCTAAAATCAATAAAGGGGAAAAAATTTTTTTAAATTATTGCAGACGGGGTGGGTGGGGGGGTTCTTTTAAAATCACTACTAATAATCTGATGCTTTGTCCGACCCATTTAGTTGGTTTTTCAACATGAAATATACAACTAAGAAAAAAAAATAAGATTTATTGAATACTTTATATAAATGTGATCCTCACAACATTGGAGGTAACATCGCCCCAATTCATACTTGAGAAAAGTCAAGGCCCAAGGTCAGAGAGCTGGTAAAAGACACAGCGTGGAGACAACTCAGATCTGCCCAATCCGGGCTACCAACTGCACCACGTGGCACACTGGCTTCTGCCACAGGCTGTTTTTTTCTACAAATGCCCGTCACTGATCTCCCGGGGCTACGTGCAGATGATTCAGCACGACCCCGACAGGCAGGACGGGGCCAGTTCCCCAGGCGCCCTTGTGGAGGCCACTTCAGTGCTGTCACAGATCACACCAGAGGATGGGCACCTGCGTTTCATACCAGCACTGAAGCACCCCCTTGACCACACCTGCACTGGCTACCCACCTCTGCCTCGGTACGGCACTGACATCAAGTCAGAAGAACCCATGCGCCAGCGTACAGGCCCCAAGTGCTCCGTTATTATTAATATTGAATGCTGGGCTTGTTAAGAGCACATCAGAAGTTGCTTCTGCAAATAAAATGTACTAACATCAATATCAGCATTCTTTCTACTGAAGAACTTTAAAGAAAAAAATCCCTGGCGTACTACTAGGAGTTATACAACTGCCACTATGAGCAAGAAACAGAAAAAAGCCTCAAGCCATCAGGCTTTTAATAGATCTGGATTACAGTGGCCCCCCCCTCATCTGCAGTATGTTCCAGCATCTCCAGTGGATGCCGAGACCACAGACAGTACTGAGCTCTAAATACTGTACTGTTCTTTCCTGTACAGACACACATACTTGTGATATAACTTAATTTAAAATTAGACACAGTAAGAGATGAACAACAATAACTAACAATAAAACAGAACAATTATAGCAATACACTGTAACAAAAGGCATGTGAACGCGGCCTCTCTCAGAATACCCGCCTGTACTGTACTGTACTGTACACTGGACCAAGGGACGACTCACAGCCCAGGAGAATGGAGTAGGACGGCCCAAAGTTCCATCGCGCTGCTCAGAACAACATACAAGTTAAAAGTTAAGGACTGTTCACTTCTGGAATTTACCACCCAGTATTTTCAGACCGCGGCTGACGACGCGTGTCTGACACCGTGGACAGCGAAGCCGCGGATGAGGAGGCCTGCGCATTGCTGTCCAGCTGCGCGGATGAGGCCAACCCTCCCATCAGACAGAACGCTAGGAACGTGCACCAAGTGTATCACTGGAACCACAGAGAACCAGACTGCAGAAAGGCATGCTGTGTGACTCAAACACGAGAGTTAGTTGGGCTAGAAGGTCAAGTCTGGGGAGTTTAGCAGCAGAAAGAATCATGGTTTCCAACAATTTCTGTCTCTCAGAACAACCTACATCCAACTGTTAAATCAGTTAAATGATACGCAATTATGTGACCTGCCAGAACTAATAACTTGCTTCAGAGTTTGTCATTAGCTTTCTAAAGAACATAAACGAGAGAAAATACATGTCCTATGAACATCGTATTATTCCGATAATGAAGGGTCCAGAGAAGAACAAGGCTATAGTATCAAAAGGTGACAAAAACTCTGTCCTGCCCAAGTGAGTGGGCTGTACCAATGGGTAGAAAATGGAATGGTAGGCTTTGGTGTTAGTTTCTGTGTGTCTTCATGGTTTAAACCAGGCTCCCTGAACGACCACTTGCTGCTGTGGACCCAAAGCTGCTGGCCCCTTAACTTGTATCTTCCCTCTTTACTGGCTTCGAGTACAGTGATACCTCGGTTCTCGAACATAATTCGTTCCAGGAGGACGGTCGAGAACCAAACTGTTCGAGAACCGAAGCAATGAAACCCAATAGGAAGCCCTGGCCAGTTTGGCTCAGCGGTTAGAGCGTCGGCCTGCGGTCCGGAGAGACCCGGGTTCGGTTCCCGCTAAGGGCACGTACTTCGGTTGCAGTTTGTCCCCGGCCCTGGTTGGTCGTGCGGGTGGCAGCCACTCGATGTGTCCCTTCACGTCGATGTTTCTCTCTCTCTCTCTCTCCCTCCCACTCTATCTATACAAAAAATGGAAAAATATCCTCGGGTGAGGATAAAAAAAAAAGAAACCCAATAGGAAATAATGGAAACTGGATTAATTCGTTCCAAGCCCCAGAAAATGCCTATTTACTGGCCTAATTTGTATATAATATGTAGAAAAACATAAGTCTCAACAAGAAATAAAAGTGTACAGTATGTCTAAGGGTTAAATTCAGTGTAAAGCGTGACTCTCTCCACAAAGCGTGACTCTCTCTCTGCACTCACACTGATGCCGCAAGCAAGGCGCGCTGGGCCGAATGAACGCCATTCGGCTCAACTCGGCTCATCTCGGAAGTTCGAGTTCCAAATATTTGTTCGGATTCCAAGACAAAAGTTTCTCGAATCTCCTGGTCGAATACCGATTTGGTAGAAAGTCAAGGCGTTCGAGAACCGAGGTATCACTGTATTGGCCCAGAAATAGGGAACAATGACTGTGGAGACACAATTATGATAGAGTAGAGGACAAAAGTTCAGGACAACTGGGGAAAGCACTATTTTAGTAAGAATCTTTTTCTTTCTGAAAGTAATGAATTGAATACAAGGGGAACACAGGCTCTTCTTACAACCATCTGGACGGAAGTTGATGACAACCTAACCCACTTGTCACATCAGTCCTTGGTGATGACAAGTTTGATTTACAAAGCTTTCTTCACACACAGTAGCCCACCCAAGCCTTACCAGTGGCCCATGACCCTGGGCATGCCTTTGTCCGTGCGCAGCCAGCGCGGCGGCACCCACCTGTTTGGCCTGGTTGACGCAGCGCATGTACTGGTTGGCCAGCGCAGAGCAGCTGAGGGTCTGCTGGGAGTTCTGGCGGTAACACTGGAGGATTTTGGCCTGCAGATCCGCACAGACAGGGTGGACCTCATACCGCCTGCAAACAAAAACAGGGGTCACTGAGACACATGGTCTTCAATCAGATCAAAGATCAAGGCCAGAGAATGGATAAGACATTAAATAAGACAGATGTTTCAAATGCAGAAAAACAAGCTTCAGAGAAATGATTTTCTTCAACCTTGAAAGAAAGATGCACAGGTAAACAATTTCTCTGAATTAGTTCCGCTAGCTGACACCACCACAGCCTCTAAGGTCTCTTAGCCCCTCCCCCAGCCACCGAGACCTGCACCGGGCACGGGGCCAATTCACTGCTGCCCCGCTGGTGGGTCAGAAGCCTAAGGCCCTGACTTCTCCCTCCACCCCACACTCTGGTCCTCCTTCTCCAAACCCACCATCCTGGACTCCGTTTTCTCCCCTGCCCTCTCCGTCTCTTAGCTTCTGCCTGCTGCTCCAGCCTTCCAGAAGGTTCTATCACATAAGTCTGAGACAGCATCTCCCCCTACCACGTTCTAAATAAAATATAAGGTCAACAGGCAGGTCTTCGCCACACTCCTGCCTCCTCTCTAGCCTCAACTCCCCACGCGGCTGCAGCCTGACCAAAGCACTCCCGGTGTGTTCTCATGTGCCCTGCACCCCTCGGCTCATGCGGCTCTTGATTTCAGGAACGGCCTACAACCAAGCTCCCAGCCATTATAAACACCCAGCATCTGGAACACAGCTCCTCGTCTCTGAAGCGTCACCTTCTCTATACAGCGGTCACTGGCTCTTCCCATCCATGGTGGAGTCTATCATTCTCTTTATGATGACCCACTGACCGGCATTAACTTCTGTGCCCGTGCACGGAACACCGATTACGCTGTAATCTGCCTACATGGCAGTGCACCTACTAGCCACATTCAACAGAATGTAAATCCCAAGGCCTGTGTCTTGTTTCCTTTGTGACCTCAGCTACTAATAAAGGTACCTCTTATGGAAGTCACGTAATCAGCTGTGAGAGTATAAACGGGTAGAGAGAGAAAATAATTTTTAACTCCTGGGCTCAGATTTTACTAATTATACTTACAAATCCCAAATTTTAGTTAGATTGCTTTCAGTGAATATGCAGTACCAAGTGCTTTTAAAAAAGCTTGTAACGGAGACTTGACAAATGATAATAACCAAGTAAACCAAATGAATGATACAAACAGAGGGAAATATTCTTAAGATGGTAGAGGAACTTTGATTATAAGAACTAAACACACAGAGAAAATACATAATATTATCAATTTTAATCTAAGAATATATATATATATTTTTTTTATGTATATATTTTTTCCAAATTAGTTTTGCTGAATACAAAAGGCTTGCAGTGTCTCATACCAGTTCCTTTTTTGAAATTTAAATTTTGTTGCTGCCACAGTAATTTTGAAATAGCATTATTTTAAATTTAATGGACTCTAGAAAACCCCTAGAGAACACAGGAGGACTATTTCTCATCAATAAAGAAACCCCTGGGTGACGATTTGTCTCCTCATTACTTTTATCCCACACAGTAAGCTAATATATATTTTGCTAGAATAGAAAACTGAAATGCAAACCACCTTACTGGTCCCTGAGGGAACTTACTTGTTACTACCCTCTAAAGAAAGCAGACACACAGGGAACAAGCAATCCCACAAACTTTACATAACACTGCTTTCACTTTGTATCCATCCCGGCGCTGCTCTGCTGAACACCTAAGCACAGAACTGAACCCAGTCCCAGGAGTTCCCATTCTCTTTAAGATTTCAAAGTTCTGATGTTTGTAAATTTTTCTGAAACCATGTCCTTAATCGCCACCATGAACATCAGCATCTAAAAGGCATCAGCTGTGCTTCCAAGAGTAGAGGCAGGTCCACTAACTGACCGGTCATAGCAAGACACACATCTGGGTAAATACTGAATACAAACAATATGATCAGACAGAGGTGGGCCAGACCTGGCCCGTACATGGCTAACGCCTGCATTAGTTTGTGGAAGTGCAGGTTATATTCTGTTCTAGTGTTGGGACCATCGTCTGTCCAATCCAGCTTAGCTTTAAAAGGAGGATGGGTAGAAGAGACAGGACCAGTCCTGACAAGGTGTATGGCCTTCCCCCTGAACAGAGAAAGGGGCTGGAAAGAATGAGCTTCCACATACTGCCCATCATAAAGAAGATGGGTGTTTCTTTTAAAAAGACTATTCACAATGGGGCTCATCTAATAATACTATGAACTCCTTAGAAAGAGGTTATTTAAGTTGGATGTAAGCATTTACCTTGAGTTGAGCTATTACTCATGGAAGTTCAAGCCCATGAGTTATTTATGATTTGAAATGTGTCAAAATATACTTTTATCACCCAAAATCAATACCACTCACTCCCAGGGTTCTTGATTTCCTCCTATCTAGTCATCTGGTTGTGTGTGTGTGTGTGTCTGAAATTCTTTTTGTATGCATTTCAACCTGTGTGTGTGTGTGGTGTATGTCTGAAATTCTTTTTGCATACATTTCAACCTGTGTGTTGTGTGTGTGTATGTGTGAAATCTTTTTGCATACATTTCAACCTGTGTGTGTTGTGTGTGTGTGTGTGTGTGTGTGGTGTGTCTGAAATTCTTTTTGCATACATTTCAACCTGTGTGGGTGTGTGTGTGTGTGTGTGTGTGTGTGTGTGTGTGGTGTGTATCTGAAATTCTTTTTGCATACATTTCAACCTGTACTGATGATTAGATGGCAGAAAGAGGGAGGGTGAAAATTAACATAACTGTCCCCCCAGTTCCTGGAGCAGACTCTGATGCATTTTCCTTGGGTTAATCTGCACAGGCAGAGCTCTGCCTCCGCATTGATTTGCAATGCTTGTTATGCTGTCCCGATGCAATGTTTTCTCTTTGGGAAAACGCTCAATGAGATTACGGTCTAACATTAGAAGGCCATAAAGCACAAGCCATGGCACCTTCCATTCAGGAAAAGAGTTTCAGAGACATTTCCAATGTGCATCATGGTAACTCTCCATACAGTCATTGTGTCAGCAATTGATTTTTATTGACAGATTTCATTCCTGCTGATGAAAAAAGCCTCTGAGAGGCAAAAATCACAAAAGGCAGAATTTCAAACCTATGTAGATAAATTAAATCTTTGCTGCAAGAGACATTTAAACAATTTAATTACTTTGCATGGAAATAAGATTTAAAAAGAAACAGTGAAGGACAAATGTTAAGAGAAAGATAAAATATACATCTGGAGAATTCAGAACACTAATGAAGAACTGAGAGACAGAACACTGATACAAAAACACATTTAGCAAAAAGGAATTGGTGAAATGTAATCGACACATAAAAATATATATTGATTAAAAGCAATTAGGAGAAAATCTAGTTTAGTGGTCACTTGAAATTATTGGAACTTCTGTAGGATCCTATCACATGTGATTAAAATACTATTTTGTTATAGTATTAATGTAATAAAACAATACTGATACTAATATTCATTTAAAAGGCAGCTAAGAAAATGTAGCCAAGTATTTTCTCATGACACTGACAGGTCCATTGCAGAAATTTCAGAGAAAGAATAAAGACGACCCTCTAGGTTACTTCTAAGTTTTCAGGGCTTAAAATAACATGGTGATAAATATAAATTGTTACTATTGTTTCTGATTATTTTCATGGAATAGGTTCCTAAGTTGAATTAATTAGTCAAAGAGAAATGAAACATTAGTATAAAAATGAAGCCGAGAGAAGCAGTATCCAGAGCCCTCCTCCTCAAGCCTCTAAAGAACATTTACACTTGAGTATCTCTTTCAGAGCCTCTCCTACTTTTATGTCTTAGAAATGTCTTGAATGTGGGTCTGAGCTGTATATCTCAAGGAAATGACATACACATCTTTTTAGTTCGACCAGTATAAGTGGCACGAATAAGGTAACTTCAGAGGGGGAAAAAAAGGAAACAGCTCTCCTTATCCCATTTCCCCACTCAGAAGGCTACAGAAGTCATGCAATGACAGTTAGCAGCCACAATTCCTACAGCTCCTGGGAACACAAAAGTCATTCATTGTTAGGTGCAGATGCATAAAAAAGGATCCTTTCCCTGTATTTGGACCAGTAAGTACCCTGAGCTTGGGGAGGGGAGAAGGAAGGGAGAGAGGAGACAGAGAGGGAGGGAGAGGAGGAGGATGGACGGATGGATGGATGGACGGACGGACAGGCAGGCAGGCGGGCGGGCAGGTAGGCGGGCGGACGGACGGACGGACAAATGGATGGATATGAAAATGGCTGGCACTAAAAGGAGAATTCTGATTTTCAACAAGTTGTAACAACGCATCTTTCACCACATTAAAAGCAGGCACAGAACACAGCCATGTCGAGTTAATAAATCTTTAGCTCTAATCCTATGGCTCAATGCAAAACCTCTAACTTTATTCTGTGCTAAAGGTTTCATTAAATGTCAAACCCAGTGGTCAGGATTGCTACTTTTCTTTTACAACTCAAACGGAAGCTACTGAGCACATTGCCAATATTTAAAAATATGTAATAATTCACTCATTTCTCTTATCATTATAATAAAGCTATTACAAAATGCATTATAAAGAAAGTATTTCTCAAATGTTCTATCTTCTATTAAATTTTTTCATTTTAGCTCTGGCCAGTTTGGCTCAGCGGTTAGAGCGTCGGCCTGCGGTCCGGAGAGACCCGGGTTCGGTTCCCGCTAAGGGCATGTACCTCGGGTGCAGTTTGTCCCCGGCCCTGGTTGGTCATGCGGGTGGCAGCCACTCGATGTGTCCCTTTCACATCGATGTTTCTCTCTCTCTCTCCCTCCTGCTCTATCTGAACAAAGAATGAAAACGTGTCCTCGGGTGAGGATTAAAAAAAAAAAAAAAAAAATTTTTCATTTTAAATTTTACCTTAAATTATGATATTCTAATATTCTCAGGATAAAATGTAAAGTATCTTTTTAACAGTATAAGATCTGAAAAACAACTCAATTTCAAGCTTCTCTGACATTCTTAATAACTGCTAACCATCCTTATTAATGATGTGTCTATGTGAG